GTGCACCATTCATACTGTGGTGTAAATGATGACTCCATTCATGGCATCATGCTGAGGGTTATCCCTTCTTATTTTATTGCCTTGACATACCACAAATGCATACAGAATGTTACTTCTGCTCTATGCATCTCCAGTATCCCTTTCCACATGGTGGAAATGTAAACATGTACGCCTGAAATGCATACCTAATGGAACCTAGCAGGAAACTTGGCAGGGAATACAGAATGCATGTGGGCCGGACATGGCTGGCTGAGTTTATGACGCAGAGTAAAGATGTCCACAGCTGTGAGACATGTGGACCTCTATACAGATGATTGAACATCAACTGTCATAGGCATACATCCCCTAGCTGTGTCTTGACCTTCTGGCTTCAAGATGTATCCAAAAATGTTGTTGCAGAAATAATGAATACATTTTGGTGAATTTTACTGGAGCTGAAAATGTGTCCTGCTCTTCCATGCATATTATTTAAGGGATTATAAGTGAATGATTCTGAACCAAAATTGGTGACATTGCTTCTTTTCATCTCGGCATCGTAGGCCTTGAAAATTACCTTGTACATGTCTAATGTTTGGTTTTGTTGTATAGATTGTTCAAATCCCATAGCTCATTTGCTAATCTCTGGAAATCTTGATGGATATTCCAGTATTGGTTGACTGAGTTTGCTGATAAATGCATTTCATATTATAGATCTCCTGTATTATACATAATCAGATATGCTTGTAATTGCAAATAATATTACTATGATTTGATGCCATTGCATATCATGTAAGTAAGTGACTGATTTCCCTTAGGGAATGGTTTCATCGGACCCCGCTTTTAAACAATTTGTGATTGGATTTTTTTCCTGGTTATACTTTCAGAAAAAGCCATGTGTAGTTTCAGGGTGTTCTAATTGCCAGGATTGCTTGTTACTTGAATTATGGTGGTGGTGGTGATAATAGTCGTATTTGTACTTCAATTTCTCACTATCATCAGGATTAAAATTCATGGAGGCTTTAATGGCAATTGCTTAGATGCCCCTGGATGTCTGAATCCCCTTCAAAACAGTTAAATATTTAACAATTCACAAAGGCATTTTTTAGAAAATTTGGCCTTGAAATTGGTTGTCCTCAGGATACCTTGTAGTGTATATTGGGCTTACTGTAATTTTTTTTTGTATGACAAGTTATTATTAAACTAGGATAGGAAGCTGAGCAAAATTAGTACTATGGGAGCACTGGTGGGTCGTGTATCATAACTTGTGGAATTGCTACTTTTATCTTCTGCATATCTTCTTCACAAAACTTGCGATTGCTTATTAGTTATGGCAAAGCCTTCTCTGTGGGCCCATACATTGTATGTATGCAAATGTATTCAAATTTCTAAAATTGTTCAAGTCACTGTTCCATCATGTGAGGGCTCACTCTCTATACATGTATCTTGTCTACATGATGGCATTTGCTTTGCAGGCATTTTATATTGAGTGATGTAAATTCTGAGTGTGTAAATGTGAGTATGGTATGTTCTTATTCAGTACTCTTATGCTTGCATGTTATAACAAGAATGATCAGAGCTTCAATAACGCTGATACAAGTTTGAGCAAACCTTGCTGTACATTAATTCAGTTCTATAGATAGACGCTTACTATAAAATTGAAATACCCACAATTTATTTAGTTTGCCATGTTGTACTATATCAGTTTATATTGAGGCATGTTAGTGGAGACCATGCTATTCATTTGGTAATAACAGCCCTATTGTCAATTTCAAAATTGCCTTATCATTAGTTGATATTAATTAAGTATTAAAATGAGATTTTGTTGAATTAATAATTATGAATAGGTTAATAAGTCAGTACAATGAACTTTAGAAAGGCATGAATGTGTTATAAAATATTTATAAAATATCTACGATTGAAGACAGTTGTGTTTCCTTCAAATTTGAAGAATATGCTTTTTTGTCCATAGAAGCAATGAGTCTTTGTAAGGTTCCTTTGGTGATTTTCTGCCACGAATTAATTAAAGCGACTCTGTACAGGATGGGTTGAAAATTTATGTGAATTATCTGCTGATCTCAAATTTACGCAACTTTAGATCCTGTAGGCATGGTAGAACTCCCATGGTACACCTTCCGGTTGAAAATGATATTAGAAGGATTACATCAGTTTCATTGTGTAACCAAACTTTCTAATCAGTGAGTTTCCAACCAGTGTGGCGAGATGCATCATGGGAGTTCAAAAATGCACATTCATTCTGTTTAACTGATACATAAAATTCAATTCATGGTTTATGTATGTTTCTATTAGAAATGAGCTTTTAATATAGCAAATACAGTATTCTATGTTTTACCTTTCCCTGTTGTCGATTGAGATAAACTAGGTTACTCTTAATTGCAGCATTGGAATTCATTGTACCCTCAATTTCATATTGCTTGGATCAATTACTATCAGCTTAGACAGTGTTAAAACCCTCCGTATAGGTAACTTGGTTTACTAGCAGAAATAACACTTTTGAGCTGTGGCAGTGCTTGTGGCAATAATTTGTTAGTTAGCTGATGGATTTATGAAGGTACTGCACTGAGTTTCAATTTCAATAGAGAAAGCACACACTAGTAGACATCTGAGACTGGCAACTGGACATGTGAGCAATTCCCCAAACTCAATTATAAAACTGAAGAGCATGTTAGGAACTAAAAGAACTAACTTGTGTGGGCATTTTCATGTTGCCAATCCTGATGAGAAAGTGCAGATCAGAACAAAAAACACTGTCTTGAAATGAGGGTGTAGTATTAAAAAAGAAAGCCTTCCACCCCCAACTCTGCAGGAAGCTAAATTTGGGCCAACTTCAATCCAGGTGTTGTACATCACAATCTAGTTATTGTGTCCCTTCGTTTACATAAAATAATTTTAAATGGCCTCCAACTACTGTCAATTCTAGAAAATATTGTCCTGATGTAACCCCTGTGTGAGAAAGTATGTTATTGCACATAGTGTGCTTTATACCATGTTAGACGACCTGACATATGATACATGTCTAGTAGTAACTTTGATAAGCCATACATCAATTAGCCTCATATCACTAATGAAGTTCCCTAAGGGTATGTATAAACATATAGTACAAGCTAACAACAACTGTATAATGGTCATTTAATGAGCAGATATGTTGACATAGCCCACCCTAATACTATTAATAATATTCTGATCTCTCAGATTGATTTTCACATGCCTGTCATTCACTACTTAGACGGTGTTAGAAACTGTTTCCATGTGTTTGTGGTGTAACTTCACTAACCACATGGATGATGATGATGATGATATTTTACATGGAAACTCAAAGTTTCAAACTTTTTGTACTTGAGTATTACCATAGTAACTGAATTTAACTGAATATGTGTAGGGAGACAGGTCTGTCTATAAAGAATAGGCTATCTTTGCTCCAATAGTAACGAAAACGCTTACCTGAATGATGTCTGTCTGTGGCTTGCTTGTCTGTGTACAATGTCATATTTGCTTGTAGCGCATGTCTATGGTCAAAATAAGTCCTATTCACTGAAGTCACTGAATAAACGCAATTTTTTGTTTATGTGCACATTTATTAGAGATTTACCGGTACTACTAATAGACCAAATATGGTAAACCTAATACTGTAAAATTTGTATTAGACACCGTGGCTTCTATTAAAATGGTACAATGCAACAGAAGGAATGCAGCTTCTATTAGACCATCTACATATATGAGAAATGATGAATTTTTGGTTCTCAATTATTCAAAAAGATGGGTGTGACTTCTATTAAGGATGCAGCTTCTAATACAGATTTTACAGTAATATTGCTTTGTAGAAATGCTGCACGAATAACCATTGTATGTCTTTGGTATAAATGTCATAACCAGGTGTTAGTCTTTCACCAAATTACATTATCTTGTTCCTCTGTGAAAATGAGGCATGGTGCTGCTTTCTCATGGTGTCATTTACTTGATAGTTGCTAACAATGACTAATAGACCTCATAGGTGATGGAGAGTGTTTATTGAGAACGTTCCACTGTGGTGTAACTATCTCTTCATTACAATATTTTTTTTGCTCAGCTACACTTACACTTTTACCCGTGCATTTTGCATATTAAGGCCAGAATTTTTTTTATTTCTTGTTTCTCGAGTTTTTATAAGTCAATTTTTTTGAGGAGGGCGAAAAAAAAAAAAATTCTTTTTTTTCCATTAGATTTGTGCGATTCTCAAAGAATTGTAAGTGAGATCATTGATCGAAGAGAAGAAATGAAACAAAATTTTATTCCATGTATAACTTTGTATCTCATCTGCATGAGACTTCGGTGCTTTGATCATGATACT